TTTATCCTAGCTAGCCTCTCCTTTGTAGTGATCGACGATATATCGCCGGCCGATATATCGGCGCGATTTTGAGGTTTTTACGTGTATCGGAATCGGCCGATACACCGCTGCGCGTTCGCCGATAGTTTTTTTTTTCCCGCCGTTATTTATAGACAGGCGGCCACGGGCAGCTCCGTGCTGCTGGAGATGCTGTAGTTCACGTGCCCCGCCCTCCTCCACTAGCAGAGTGCAACCTGCTCTTCACGAGAATGGTAACTTAAACTTTCAAAGGATCTTTTAAATGTTTGACTCCTGAAATATTGTCAAACACGTTGAAAATGGAAACACGTCGCCCTATAAACTGTTATGTGCTTGCAACTAAGCAAGTTTGTGGGTCCAAATGGAAAACGCCGAATGCCTCGTCTATAAAACTTAACTGCTTGCCATTGTATTAAGAAGCTGCAAATAGTTAAGGTGTAGGTTATCCGTTCAGTATGCATTAGGACTGTCTATGAATATTCTACATTCGAATATCTATTAATTTTGAAGGTGAAAATTAATATTTGAATGTGGAAAAACACGCCCGCGGTTGCAGACTAATAACGTTACCACAGCTGCACAGCTCGCTCGGAGCGCTCACTGTCGGTTCTATACTGTGAAACTTCAATCACTGAATGAACTGAAGCCTGCTATATTTGGGACAAGAGTCGCGACTCGCAACCTTAAATTGCTTGCACAAAACTCTTGTTTAGCACTCAACATTTGTTTGTTGTTCATTTAACCGACGCGCAGAGACCGTGAGGGCGAGAGAGAGAGAGAGTGCCTGAGCGAGTCCAGGGCGAGACAGAGTGAGCTCTGCGGTCTTGGCCATTAGTTGATTTACTTGCTTTTTAATACGTTGTCAAATATGTTTAAACTCAAATAAACCATCTAATACTAGTAGTTATGTCTCTTTTTATTAATGTGTCCTGTTATTGATGTAATGCGCGTCAACAACAAAACGCGCAACGGGATGTTCGAATATGTTTTTTAGAGGGAATATGCAAACGCCATTTGAGCAATTTTGACAGCCCTAGTATGCATACGGTAACGAACTCTGGTCATAGGATTAAGGAATGCCAACGTTATTCTGTGCTTTTTGTGGGAGATTTATTCAGCGCTCACCTGGCTGAGGTTTGGGGCGTGTGGAGTTTGTCTCCCTCGCAATCGCAGTAATATTAGAGACATGCTCATTTTATTTTATGTAGGAAAATTGAAACCATGCAGTACATAGTTCGTTTCTTTTAAAATGAAGTACAGTGTGCACTGTGCACTTTATTATGCTGGTTGCTACTCTGTGCAATAGTGTAATTATTTAATTTATGCTTAAATATTCATTTTCAGCACTGAACTTTTTTTGTTCTACTTCATGTTTTTCATATTTTTTAAATTGTTTATCTACTTGTTCTTGTTCTACCTCACATGTTTTTACTATTTGTTAAATATGAATTTTTGAAGTTAGTTAAATGTTACTTTTATTAAATTGAGACCTGTAACATTTGTTAACATCATGTTATTTTTAAGATGTAAATTGAGGGAGCAAAATGTATCGGCTCCAAATATCGGCTCAAGAAAATCGGCAGCCCGTATCGGTCATCGGCTAAGGCTGATGGGAAAAAAATCGGTATCGGTACTAAAAAATCCATATCGGTCGATCCCTACTCCTTTGCTGTCTCAACCCTGTCTCCTTCCCTTCACGTTTTCTGACAGGCGGTAACTTATCGCATAAAAACTAACTCCGGGGTTCTTATTGCTGTTGTTAGAACAGCCATGTATTACACAAAACCATCATGCTGTTGAAAAAAAAAAACCAGTGATATACCATGGATAATCCCGACGCTACCTCGCTTGTCAATTGACAGACTGACAGTTTCCGTGGTTTCTATGTCAACAATATGGCCGCCGCAAACATTGATGACGCAGATCAAATAAGGTCTATTGTCTCATTCTTACTTTAGATGGCAACTTATTGATTCTGTAACCATATTACAGTATTTTTCACACACTAAAAAAGAGTTGTTTGAAAAAATATGAATAAAACAGAATTAAACACTGTAACTAACCAACAGGCCAAGTAATCTGATAAGCACTGGGAATCTTTTTTTTTTTTTAAATAAAGACAAGCCAACACTAATTTTACATACAACAGCAAAGTGGAAATTACATGTTCACAATTCAAAACTTGTAATAATGACTCAAACTCGTTTCTGCCTTAAATTATTGTTAGACAAAACTGTTAAACAGAGACCAAATGAAGACGGAAAATGGGAGCGCAGTGTGCTCAGAGCCACATTCTCAATGCAGTCAAAATAAAAGTCTGGTGCTCCATCAAGATTAAATATCCCGCTTCAACCCATCAGCCAAACAGAAAATCTTATCAGCCGATGGCAATATATTATCGGTCAACCAACCGCCATTCTTCTGCATGATTCATGCATATATATTTATTGCAATTTGCAGAAACTTTTATTCAAAGAAACTTGCATCATGCAAGATTTGAAACCATAACATGTTAGCACCATGCTATACTGTTTGAACTACACAAAAGCTTGTTATTCTACAACAAAATACCCCAAAATTATTAGTAATCTTACATAAAAAAAACCCCACCTTTTCCTTATCTCTGAATCACCTTTTCTTTTGTGGCTGATGTGACCAAACACCCTTAATAGGGCCTATAAAACCCATTTTATTTTTTCCAAAATTCCGTTTTTTCCGTTTTAATTTTTGCGAATTCAGGTTTTTTTTATCCTTTACTGTTATTTCAGTCGTAAAAAGAGTGTGCTTTTAATGTTAATGATTAAAATGTACACAAATAAAATAGGAATGACCGAAAAATTTATTGAGGTAACAAACGTCACATTTAATCAGTACTTTTACTGTATGATGCAACATAACACTGCACTCTAACAAAATATCAATGGTTATGAACCAATGGTTATAAATAAAAGTGCTCCATTAGCTTTTTCTTTCAAGTAAAATAATAGGACCTCTCAATTTCAGAATTATAAAGTATTTCATAAAGAATCATCTTTTCCATACAGTACATTAAAGTGCATCAAAAACAAGTTTCAATTGCAAGTATCAGTGGCGCTTCAGGAATCAAACATGCAAACACCCAATTCGCGTGATCCAGTCGATTT